TTACAATTTAATTTATATACAACGCTTGTCTTTTACGTGATAATAACAATGATATCATGGTTACTAGAGCTGACAAGGGCCAAATTACGGTCGTCATGGATAAAAAAGATTATTTTAACAAGATGGATCTGCTGCTGAGCGACCAAGCCACTTATAAAGTTTTAAAAAAGGATCCTTTGAATAGATTGACGAATAGGTTTAATGAGTTAGTAAAATCTTGGAAAAAGAACGGTTTAATAGGTGAATTGACATATAGAAATTTGAATTGTACAAACGGTAATTTACCGCGCTGCTATGGTTTGCCGAAGATCCATAAAGACGGTTTTCCGTTGAGAATTATTGTATCCGCGTTAGGAAGTCCGGTATATAATATCTCAAATTACATTCATAACATTTTAATCAAATCGATAAAGAAACCTAATTCATATATTAAAGATGGATGGTCCTTCGTTGACAACATTAGAAATACAATCATTAACGAAGACAACATAATGATTTCACTGGATGTCACTTCTTTATTCACCAACATCCCAAAAGAATTAGTTATGAATGCCATAAGAAACCGTTGGGTTGATATATCCAAAAATACAAAGTTTAGTTTACCTCAGTTTCTTTACGTCATAGAATTGATCATGGATTCAACTTACTTCTCTTTCAACGGACGTTTTTATGAGCAGATTTTCGGCACTCCTATGGGCTCTCCACTATCACCTATTCTAGCAGATATGGTGATGGATGATCTGGAGACTCAATGTTTAAATTCACTTAGTTTTACTGCCCCGATTTATTATAGATATGTAGACGACGTCTTCGCAATCGTGCCTCGCAATAAAATCGACGAGATTCTAACTAAATTTAATAATTACCACGAACGCTTAAGTTTCACGCACGAGACTGAGATCGATTCGTCGATCAGCTTTCTAAACGTTAATGTCATTCGATCAGGATTCAAACTTATCACTAATTGGTTTAAGAAACCTACATGGTCTGGGAGGTATATTAACTTCCTTTCGAACCACCCATTAAAATATAAAATTAATACGATTTATAATTTAGTAGACCACGCTATTGTATTATCCGACGACTGTTTTAAACAAGAAAACATTAAACTGGTATATGACACCTTAATTAATAATTGCTTTCCTAAACATATCATACATAGACATATTAGAAAGAGAATCAATTTTTTAAGTAATCGTGACCGTAATGACAAAGTTGACGTTGATCTTTCTCATAGAGATAAGACTCCGATTATGGCGATACCATATGTAGACAATACGAGCCATGATCTGTACCGTCTCCTGCGAAATAATGGTTTTAATGTCGTTTACAAAATAACCAAAAAACTTAATAATCTAATTAGACGTGGTAAAGATAGATTACATAACAACGACAAGACAAGCGTTGTATATAAATTAAATTGTAAAAATTGCAATCTATCATATATTGGTCAAACAAAGAGACATTTACGTACGCGAGTAAATGAACATCGTAATAATATGAAGCTACATGAGACTAATCACTCCGTAATTACCAAACATAGATTGGAAGCGGGACACGAATTTGATTGGTCGAATCCCGACATTTTACACAGCGAAACGTATGTTCGAAAAAGAGAGATTGCTGAGATGTTCTTTATTAAGAGATCAGACAATCTAATAAACTTACAGATAGACACAGATAATCTAAACAATATTTATGACAAAATAATAAAGGTCACTTAACTTGGTTTATTCTTTTAACTATGTTTAGTTTTTTGACGAAGTCTCACACGGACACATCAGTTCTCTCAATTTCGAACTTTAATCAAATAACGTCTTTTGTTTAATTAATTTTTTAATTCTTAATTTCTCAAATTTGTAATTTGTGACTTGTGCTGGTTTAAGTGCCATGCCTGTTTTTTATCTTTCCATCGGTAATTATGCTCACTTTTCTTTTTTGTTGTGCTTAGTATATATAAAAAAAAAACCGTTAATTAATGTATTTAAATCTTTCCAGTATACTTGATAAGGACCACAACCATATGGTCGAAACGTCGTAATATTTAAATAAATTAATGGTTTCTTGGCTAGTTTGGTCGACTACAATTCTTTAATAATCCTTTGATTGTTCGACTAGCGAGAATAGAGCGTTTTTTCAATATTTAATTTCTTCTATAAAAATTAAAAACAATTTTTTTCCAAATTTACCTACCTATAATAAAACTATTTCACAATTGAATCTTGCGAATACATGTTGCAATATTTGGCATAAACAAATTTTATACCTTACGTTAAATGAATGATAAGATAAGATTATGTGTACGTGTTCCAGATGAGTTATAATTTTTACAATTGGATTTTTGCGAATAAATATATGTCGCATAAATAAATTTTATACGTTAAATGAATGATAAGATAAGATTATGTAATTACGTACATGTTTCTGATAAGTTAATATAAATTATTCATGTAGCAGTATAATTCTCACAGTCAATGTAGTCTTTTCGTTGTAATAATATCTGTGTAAATTGTTTTTCTATTGCAATAGAAAGCAAAATTTAATGATATTTCTTTGAATATGATTATTAATCCGCTTAACGTTCTTAGACGTTTATTGGTGTCAAATATATCTAACAGAAACGCCAGTAATTGAAGCAAAAGTGGAATTAAAGGAAAACATTAAAAAAAAAATTGCTGGATAGTGTTTTTCATTATAATGGGTTGGAAGTAACAGAAGAAATATATCTCGATTATGAAGAACCTTAAAATTACATAGTTTTGAAATAATTGAAGATGACGAAGAAGCATGGCATGAAGATAATTTAAATTCTCATCCTCATTGTTCAAATGATGATACAAATTTTGATAGTTCTTATAAGAGATGAGTTGTTGAGTATTGGCGACATCAGGACACTGATGAAAACAGTAATGACAAAAAAGGGAATCGTCCTCTAAAAGTAATACAAAGTAAATTTAGAAGAGTTTCATCTGAACGTCAGTTAAGGCAATGTGAAGAACAAATACAATCAGATGGAAGTCGTACAGAAAAATTATCTTACATCTCCAAATTTACACATGATAAATTTACTGTAGCTGTTGAATCAGGATTCATGGTTCATGATATTGATTTAAAAAAATGGGCTTTACAAGCTCAAGAAGAAATAGGAAATTTAAATCCTATATTTAACATATCTCATAGTTGGATAGCAAGATTCAAGAAGTCTCATCGAATTGTTTCAAGAAAAGTTACGAAATTTGTCACTAGAAGAACATTAGAAGATTCTGCTGATTTTTTGGAAACAGTCAAATCTCTTATTGAACAGTTTGGATCTCTCTGAAAATATTTACAATTCAGATCAAAGTGGTTTTCAATTGGAAATTCATTCTGCAAGATCATTGTCTAACTAGGGAGAAAAGAAAATAGAACGTGTCGTGCAAACCATATTATCAACAACTCATTCATATACGATACAATCAATAATATCCTGTAATGACAATTTCTTGTCACTTTTATTTATTGTATTAAAAGAAGCTAATGGTAAATTTGGACAAGAATAGAAGAAAATTTGTTTAAACCAGAAAATGTTATTGTAAAAGCATCGAAATCTGGTAAAATGACATCAGGTATTTCCTTTTTATAATTATTTTCTTTAACAAACTTATTTCATTTAACAATTTAATAAGAGTTATAAAAACTATTAAATTAACATTTATATTTTTTTACAGACCATTTCAAAATGTGGTTAGAAAAAGCTTATTTTGCAAACATTGGTCCTAATAGCGTTCTCCTTATCGATTCATGGACTGGACATTGCCCCAATACTATTTTGGATTTAATACCTCCAGGAACACATATTATTACTATGATAATACCGAAAGGAACTACATAAAAATTATACATAAACACTTTTTATATATCTTATTATTCGACGGTAATTACTTACGCACATAGCACGGATGAGCGTATATACGGGTGCTCAGGATTCGCCTTGAGCCTAGAATTAAATATTCAATTAAAATAATACTGGCGCTATCCGTTCATGCTCGACCGTACTCGAACATGCATATTTCCTTGTTTTGTCAAATCAGCCAGAATCCTCGTGATCGCGTAGGATTACAGGTCCTGGCCAATCAGGCAATCGTAAAATCACGCGATTTGACGTGATAAAACGGGATAGGCTCAATTTCATCCGACTCGCGATCGAATCTTTATAATCGTGGAGAAAGCCTCTCTCCGCCTGAATCATTGTCTAATCACATCAAGAGAGTCATTGTCTAATCACATCAAGAGAGTCATTGTCTAATCATATCGAGAGAGTTGTTGTCTGATCATCAAGAGTGTCGTTCGATTACATCAAGAAAGAGCGAGCACACAAATCGAAAAGTCGTGATCTTGAATCTCGAAAAGGTGTTGAGTCGAAATTACGCTCAAATCATCGTGTTAGTTCGGCACTACGTGTAAATCATTATCAGAGCCGTCGCGAATTCAAAGTCTGAGCGCGAGTGCCGTGACGAAGTTGAGTGCCTCCACTCTAGTAAAGAGGAGGAGCGTCCCTGCTCATTCGGACTCCGCTAATTCATGTGCTCCTCAAGAAGCGCTGTCTCGCTCGCTCTCGCGAGCCGTCGTATACTTCGATCTCGCATCAACTCGTGTGACTCTCGACGTGCTCAAAGCACTCGAATTAGCATATTGCACGCTTCGAACGTTCTTAAACATTGTAAATATCGTGTGCCATATTGCAATACTAAACTTATAGTAACTCTCTTGTGGGTGTCACTGTGTGAAAATCAAAGGAGCAAGTTCACATTATATAATCTTGTCACTTATCTTTCCCGAAGTCACTTGTCTTTCCATCTTGCGATACCCACTCGGGTGTGTACCGGTATTACTCGCGCAACTTCAAAATTGCGATCCCGAACATTTTTTGGTCCTTCGAGCCAGATCGCGAGAACTCTGCGACAACGTGATAACAATACTGTGAGTGAATTGAAAACTGTGACTGCTTCGCATTCGTGACCATGAGTGAATTACTGGAAAACCAGCTCTCGCTGCTACGCTCCGTAGCTAAAGCAGTGGACAATTTTAAGAAAATCGGTCGGAATAACCTCATTCCAGCCAAGATACAAGCTCGAATGACGTTACTCAAAAATACCTGGAGTAAGTGTCTTGAAGGGCACAGCTTTTTGCTGAAACGTTACCCGGAATCCAAGCGTGACCTCATCGCCTACTTCCAAGAGGAACAGAGGGATCAATACGAGGAAATCTACCAGGAAGCGTTTTTTTTCATGTCTGAATGTTTGGAGGAGTTCGAACCTTGCGTAAGTCCGCTCCAATCTAGCGACCGATCTGTATTTCACATACAACCGGAATCCACGCTGTCGTTGAAGCATTTGCCGCCGATACGATTACCTCCGTTCTCCGGTAAAGCCGACGAGTGGGAGAATTTTCGCAATAGATTTACTGCGTTAATTATTCAAAATAACGAACTATCCGATTTTGCTCGCATGCATTTTCTAGTATCAAGTTTAAACGATAGAGCTCGCGACGTTGTTGCCGGTACTCCTGTAACCGCTGATAATTTCGCCGTCGCATGGAAAGCGTTAACCTCTCGTTTCGAAAATAAACGTAAACTCATCGAGATCCATGTTGCGGAATTATATAATTTACCTCCCGTCAACCGAAAGTCTTCCGCAGAATTGCACGCTTTACGAGACAAAACCGATAGAGCGCTCTCAGCATTAAAACGTTTAAACCGCACACAAGATGAGATCCTTAATGACATTCTCGTTTACTTTGTATCGCTCAAGCTTGACCCCGACACTTGTCGCGCCTGGAAACTCAAAACCGGATCGGAATCGACGCCGTCGAATTATGACGATTTAATTAACTTGATTTCATCGCGCGCGCTCGCACTTGAAGAATTATCGCCTTCCGTCGCCAATAAAAGTCGTCCAACTGTAAAAGCAAATAATGCGACCCTCTCTAATCAGTCTCCCGGTCAATGTACATTATGTAAAAAACCGCATTCTTTCAATAAGTGTCCGCAATTCTTAAACAAGAGTCCGAGTCAACGACACGAATTAATTAAAAATTCAAACCGATGTTTCAACTGTCTTGGCATCAAGCATTCAATCCAAGAATGCAAAAGCAAATTTAAATATCGTACATGTCAAAAGAAACATCATTTTCTCTTGCACCTTGACTCGATCTATCGATAAAAGCGAGACTCAATCCAATGCGTTAAGCCTAAAGGTGCCTTTACATGGGAACGTCTGAGCGTCGAGCGTTAAAGCGTCAAAAAGTGTGACACGCGCAGTGTGCCTAGTGATTTGTTGAAACGCTGGAGCAGTCAGTAAATCATCTAAATTGCGGAATATTATCAAATATTATCATTATTATCAATATTATCAAATATTATCAATAAAATATCAGTTAATTATCGTTATCATCAATGGTTATTAGAATGCAGCAACATTATTAACCATAAATGTAAGAAACAAAAAAAGTTGAATTAATTGCAGCAATGTCAGCAATGATAAATATAATAAAAACAAACAGTAAAAGGAAGAAGAGACTGTGGATGTCAAAAATTTTCACCGAAAAGCAAAGATTATATCACGGATTATATCACGCAACATTGCCCAATATAAGGCTGGAAGATCTGCGTTTCAAAAATTTTACAAGAATGACTACAACACAATTTGAAGACCTATTGTTAATAATAGGAGATAATTTACAGAAATTTTATGTTGTACGTGAATCTATAAATGAAGAGTAACATTTATTAGTAAGTAAGGTACTTATAAACTTATATATACTTATAAACTATGTTATTGTAAATAATATGTGATATATGAAATCTCTCTGACAATATTAAATAACAAAGTATGTTTTATATATTTCTTATACTTATTAACAGATATTTCGCCTCAGGAGACAGTATGACATCTTTGTCATACACGTTTTTAATATCTGTAAGCAGTTTTTCAAATATTATACGTGAAACATGTTCTGTCATATGGGAACATTTATGTCCTATTATACTTGCACAATGTGACACAAATGACTGGAAAGACATTACAAATGACTTTGCTAACAAATGGCAGTTCCCTCATTGTATTGGTGCGATTGATGGAAAACACATCATCATTCAAGTAATTCTTAAAGTGAAAAAGATATGTATATAATAAATTGAGGCAATTTAACTTTACTCAATATTGTTTCAGTGTCCTGACAACGCGGGATCAGCATATTATAATTATAAAGGCAGTCACAGCATTATTTTACTTGCATTAAGTGATGCAAATTATATCATACGCTGTGTAGACATTGGTGGCCCTGGAAGACAGGGTGATGCAGGCGTTTTCAAGAATAGTACTATAGGTTTGTTATTAGAAAGAAAAGAATTTAATCTTCCAGCTCCTAAAGCATTATATGACGATGGTCTAATTTTACCATATGTATTGGTGGGAGACGAGGCATTTCCATTAACAGACTATATGATGCGACCATATCCAGGAAAAAGTGGAATGACATTAGAGAAACGGATATACAATTATCGTTTATCTCGAGCTTGGCGAACGGTCGAAAATGTCTTCGGTATCTTAGCTAGTCAATGGCGTCTTCTAAGACGACCAATTATAGCAAACGTTACAAATGTAATAAAAATGATTCAAGCAATAATTTGCCTTCATAATTGGCTGAAAAAGCATGATTATGAAGAAGAAGCGTATGTAACAGGGAATCTTGCAGATCGACTTGTAGCAGATGGAGATATCTCTTGAAGACGGCTCTTAGAGAAACAATATTGACGATTATCATGCATTTAGAAATATAAAATGTACTCAAGCAAGAGCGCATTCATTACGCGCAGCTAACATTCGAGAAGAATTTTGCACATATTTCAATGAAGAAGGAGAAGTTGGTTGGCAAAACATTCAAATATACAAGTGAAGCACATGTAAATGTATTATATAATAATGATATTGTACAGTAATTGTTTTATTATATTGTACAATAGTTTTATTATAGTTAATTATAGTTGTACTATTGGAACGAGATCGAAATAAAGATAATATTGCAATAACTAAAATTATTTTAAAAAGAAATACACAATGCTTCGTAAAAGTTAAAAGTATTAGAAATCGATATTCTACAAAAATAATATGTTATAAAATATTTGACAATAAATTATACATCTACATATAATGTAACATCTCAATATATTTTGAAATAAAATTAAAAAGGAACATCATCTTAATTTCTTATAATTATTAAGTATACAGAAAAATTATATTGTGACACTAAAAAAAAAGTAATGTAATTCAAACATAATAATTATCTTTTAATTATATTCAAAAGCAATAATGAGAAAATATAATAAAAACGTAAGAACAAATATAAAAATGTAGAAACATAGTAGTATTGCTAACATGTCATGCAAAATTAATAATAAGTTATTCATTCTCGTGTTGTTCTTTGTTAGCAGTATCTTGTAGCAATTTTAATAAAAGTGTATTTTGTATTCAGTTTAAGCAATCTTTGTTTTATATATATAAACATACCATCCAATGCATCTATTTCAGGTGGCTTTGGAAGATTTATAAGGCATTTCTTTATTATAAAATGCTTCAGCTATACGATTCATTGATGCACTCAAATCATTATTAGTTTTAGCCCGTTTACAGGGTTTAACAGAGGATTCATCTGCAAAGAGATTGTTTGAATATACATTAATACGTAAATATAATACCTACATATTCTAGAATGCAATCAGTTAATTAGCAAATAATAAATAAGATGTATAATACCTTCATTACTTTCATGTTATTCGATATTGTCTAAGTTGTTCTCATCAAAAAGATCGTTAGACGTAATAGTTGAAGTCGATTAGATATGGAGTAAAATAAAATATGCTTGCAATGAGTCATTATACTATTTACAGGGTCCATTATGAAAGTAATGCGCATGATTTTATTGTGACGCGAATATCCATCGCAGTATGGTAAAATGAGTCGGGAAATGTAGTGTGGGGTGTGGCCTTCCAAGGCAGCCGATCGTCAGTTTGCTCCGAGCAGCCCGAGTGGAAAGACGTGCATCCGCGTGAAGTGTGTTTTTCGTCTTTGTAACACGGTGCGATGCAGAGTTCGCTTGAACAGCGATACGCCATCAAGTTTTGCGTGAGGCTTGGAAAGAATGCAACCGAAACATTCCAGATGCTTCAAGAGGCGTTTAAGGAAAACTGCATTTCAAGGTCACAGTCCGGGAGGTGGCACAAGGCGATCTCCTTCCGGCCCTCCTTGAACGCCTTGTGCCACCTCCCGGACTGTGACCTTGAAATGCAGTCTTCCTTAAACGCCTCTTGAAGCATCTGGAATGTTTCGGTTGCATTCTTTCCAAGCCTCAAAACTCCAAGACGCAAAACTTGATGGCGTATCGCTGTTCAAGCGAACTCTGCATCGCACCGTGTTACAAAGACGAAAAACACACTTCACGCGGATGCACGTCTTTCCACTCGGGCTGCTCGGAGCAAACTGACGATCGGCTGCCTTGGAAGGCCACACCCCACACTACATTTCCCGACTCATCTTACCATACTGCGATGGATATTCGCGTCACAATAAAATCATGCGCATTACTTTCATAATGGACCCTGTATGATATATATTTTTTAATTTGTACACATGTGTGTACAAATTAAATATATATAAAATAAATAAAATGATATATACTTTCTATTTGTAGACACCGAACGTAAAAAGGACATCGCTTCAAAATGTTTCCAAAGTTTTTGTGAATTCGATCTTGCTGATGTACTGGGTTTCTTTCCTTCAGCCACTGCTTTACTAAACGTGTCTTTAAGTGTTTTCCATCTTTTTTTAGCGTCCTCAGAACTGATATGACCTAATACATTTGTAAAAACATTTTCAAAATACTTAATTAACCCCACCAATACTTTTATTTGATGATTCAAGTTTATGTGAAATAGATACCATTAAGAGCATTAGAAATTTCTTTCCATAATTCTGCAAGTTTGTGTCTACCATGAGCAGACAAAGGCAATGTATAATCATACAAAGGAGGTCTCTTTCTGATTTCTTCAATCAACATTTCTTCTAATGTATTTTTGTCCAATGTTGTCGAACACGATATTGAGTTTTGTGAATCATCGTTAACAATATAGCATTCATCTATGTGTAGACTGGATTTAGCTTCCACTGCCTTGTCTATTCGTGTTTCTTTTTTTTCAAATGATAAGCTCTTTGACTCAGTTTGTAATAATACGAGTTGTTCTTTGTCATTATATATTATTTTTGCCAAATATTCTTCTTTTTCTGCAATATTATCATAGTATTAGTTACTATTTTAATCTTTGAATAAATGTATAAAAGTTATTTATCATATACTTTTATTAATTGTACTTACGATTAGTAGGATAAAACATCCCGGTCTCTTCATTGTAACACTATGCCAATGTTTCATGCATTCATGATTAAAAATATTGTTTTTATTAATTTTCAACGTGCATACTCCACACGTTATATCCTATACAAAGAATACATTGTAATAAATAATATTCATGTTGTATTTAGAAAACATATATTTATGCCAATTATTCCTTCTATGTTTGGTTATGTTGTAATACGCTGCTAATCGAGCAATTCTATAATATATATTGTATAATAATATCTATTATATATTATATATATTAATACATTTTCTATGAAGAATATACAATCTACTTACCTCTACGGTATCTATTAAATTTTTGTTACTAGACATTGTATTAGCATCAAGATGCTGGAATCTGCCTGTTTAGAATTATGCGCAAGGGTGCTGCGCACGTGTTTTTGACGCTCGACGCTTGACGCTAAACGCTTCCATCTAAAGACGCCTTAAACGAAACAATCGAAACTCCTGAGACGTCAAAGGCGATCGCAATGTCCGCTGTATGTTCGAATTCGTCTGTCTCATCCGTTCTACTTGCAACGGCGAAAGTAATGGTTCGATCTCTCAACGGTCGCACCTTAATTGATCAAGGTTCCGAGGTTACATTTATCTCCGAAAAATTAGCACGTATATTGCGTTTGCCTCGAAAGCGAACTTCCGCTCAAATCTCCGCAGTAGGAGGTATCGATGCTGATACATGTCGATACTCCGCTCTCATTGAATTAGTACCCCGCGGAAAACATAAGCCAGTTTTCACAACGGCTGCTTTCATTCTCAAGGCGCTAACTAAATACGCGCCGCGATTATCAGCATCAGTCGCTGATTGGAAACACTTAAACTCTCTTACGTTAGCGGATGACGATCCCACAGGATCGAGTCCCATCGATATAATAATTGGCGCTGACATTTACGGTCACGTCATTCAAAACGGAATCCGGAAAGGACCAATCGGGCAACCTATCACTCAACGATCTCATTTCGGCTGGATTCTTTCCGAACCTGCTCAAACTCAAAACGCTCGCACAATTAACGTGTTTCATTGTTCCCTTGAGCATGACTTGCGTCGTTTCTAGGAGATCGAAAAAATCCCACGACATAAGATTCTGTCCCCTGCCGAGGAACATTGCGAAACTCATTTTATCACTACTCACTCACGAGCCTCCGACGGGCGCTACGTCGTTCGCCTCCCATTTAAAACGACGCCGCTTATCGATATCGGAGAGTCTCGATCTATCGCCTTCCAACGATTAACATCGTTAAAACGTCGTCTCGATACGAATTCCGACATCAAATCGGAATATTCTGCCTTTCTCGCCGAGTATGAACTCAATCATATGCAAAGAGTTCAACCCCCGGCCGCGCCTAATTCTCAAATTGTTTATCTTCTGCATCATCCAGTAATCCGCGAAACTAGCGCAACTACAAGACTAAGAGTTGTCTTTAACGCATCCAGTCTAACCACCAACGGAACGTCATTGAATTCTCATTTAGAAATTGATCCTAAATTACAGATGGAAATAACTTCTATTTTGTTAAGATGGCGACAACATAAATACGTTTACACGGCTGATATAGCAAAAATGTATCGACAAATTTTAATAGATCCCCGCGATCGCGATTATCAACGCATTGTCTGGTACAATGGTGATAACTCAGCCATTCAAGATTATCAGTTGTTGACTATCACTTATGATACCGCTTCAGCTCCGTTTCTCGCTCTTCGAGTACTGAAGCAGTTGGTTAAAGATGAAGGAGTCGCATTTCCCCTCGCGATTCCGATTTTACAAGATAACATCTACATGGATGACGTTCTGTTCGGAGCCGACGACATTCTGTTGCTACACCAATCGCGCGAACAACTTTGCGCTCTTTTATCTTGCGGCGGATTTCACCTACATAAATGGGTGAGTAACAGCTCTACTCTTCTATCAGACATTCCAGAAGAATGTCATGGACTCGCAGGAAATACTGCCAACTCTCGAGGAGAATTTCAGCGTTCTAGGATTATCATGGAACCCGCATTTCAATTCCGAGCGTCTCTTCCACAATCACTTCCTAACACAAAGCGAAAGATCTTGTCAACAATCGCAAAATTATTTGATTTATTGGGATGGCTCATCCCCGTGACCATCAACGCTAAAATATTTATGCAACAATTGTGGCGACTAAAAATAAACTGGGATGATGCCATTCCCTCGCAAACGATTCAGCGCTGGGAATCAATCTATCAAAATTTATCAGCATTAAATGATCTCCAAATTCCTCGATGGACAGATCAAGATCATGACACTGCTCGATGTGATTTTCACGGATTCGCGGACGCGTCTAACGCTGCTTACGCCGCTGCCATTTATATGCGAACGACCTCGTTATCAGGAGAAATTACAATGACATTATTAGCGGGCAAATCGAAAGTTGCTTCGCTCAAAACAATGAGCATCCCTCGACTCGAGTTATCGGCAGCTTGCCTACTTGCTCGGCTAATCGAGTTTACTCAATCATCTCTACACATGTCTAACATTACATGTCATTGTTGGACTGATTCCACCATGGTTTTAGCATGGCTAAGTTCGCATCCATCAAGATGGAAAACTTTCGTATCTCATCGAGTAGCCGACATTCAATCGCAATTACCTAATGTCAAATGGCGTTACATCCCATCCGCAGACAACCCGGCTGATTGCGCTTCTCGAGGTATCTCAAACTCCGACCTTAATTCCTTTCATTTGTGGTAGCACGGTCCTACCTGGCTAAAACTCAATCAAACTGAATGGCCAAACGACGCCGCTCCTCCACCTTCGGAAACACCCGACGAGAATCGGAGTATTGCAGTGCATTCCGCTCAAACGAAGGCCAGTTGGGATTTAGCACTGAGATATTCAACTTGGCCAAAATTAATAAGAATCTCGGCATACATCATTCGTTTTGCAAATAGGTGCCGAAAAAAGGATCAAGTTCCAAGCAATTCAGAAATACAAGGTCAAGCTTTGTCTGCCATTGAATGCCGCGCGTCAATTTTGGATCCTAACAATTCAATCGAAAGTATTCTCTGAGAAATTTAAGGCACTCGATAACAATCAGTCCCTCCCATTAAGAACACCGTTTACTCCGCTGCGACCTTTTCTGGACGAGGAAAAAATAATTCGAATCGGCGGACGCTTGAAACATTCCACACTCTTGTTCACTACTAAACATCCAATACTCCTAGCTCCCCATCCATTAGTCAAGCTCATAATACGACACGCTCACGTTCGATCCTTACACGCTAGCGTTCAACTTACATTAGCCACAACACGCCAAGACTATTGGATTCTCAAAGCTCGAACGTAAATCAAACAGATTATACATCAATGCATTAACTGCGTAAGAGAGAAAGCCGAAATTCCCACACAACTAATGGGCGATCTTCCACAAGCTCGAATCTCCACGCCCGCTCGAGCTTTCAGCCACTCTGGAGTAGATTACGCGGGCCCTATTTTTACTCGTGCATCATCAGGTCGTGGAATCACATCGCGAAAAGGCTATATTGTTCTATTTATCTGCCTGGCTTCAAAAACCGTTCACTTGGAATTAGTTAGCAATTACTCAACCGAAGCGTTTCTCGACGCTTTCTCACGCTTTTGCGCTCACCGCGGCCTGCCATCCACAATGTATTCAGATAATGGCACCACTTTCGCGGGAACCGACGCTGAATTATCAAAAGCTTATCGGAGCGCAGTAATCCCGATTTTCAAAATCAGACTGCAGCCGATAACATTCGCTGGCACTTCATTCCTCCCCATGCTCCGCATTTCGGCGGGCTGCAGAAAGCCGGCGTTCGCAGTATAAAACAGCACTTGCGACGGATTCTGGGCTCCCACACTCTAACTTATGAGTTTTCCACGCTCCTCTGCCGCATTGAGGCATGCCTCAACTCTCGACCTATCGGTCCGCTCACGGATACTCTCGATGACTACGCACTTCTTACGCTGGGTCATTTTTTAATCGGCTCCGTAATCACGGTTAATTCCGAACCTTCGATTTTATCCTTAAATGAAAATCGATTGTCTCGTTGGCAATTAACTTCTTAAGGACCAAACGTCCGTTTTTCCAACACTTTTTTCAGTGACATTTTCTGCTACCGAATCGATCGTTAAAAAATTTCAAAACAATGAATTCTAACGTAAAATTGCCTGAACTTTCGAAATACGTCATCAGAATCGCAAAAACATGCAAACTGAAATAATTATATTCGTTTATTTAACAAAAAATACGAATTTTTCATTGCATCAAATCTTTATTTGAATATTTTCGTCTCGAATTTATGTAGATACCTTTAATAAGTGAAATTCTTGCGTCCATGGACCCTAAGCTTGAAAACGTATAGGTTAGTTTTTCAAAATTCAAGATGGTCCGAAGTCCAATATGGTGGCTAAAAGCCAAAATTTTTTTGCTATTCCTGATTTTCCATATTGGAGCAATATTTTCGAATAAATTCTTATACATGCATGTACATAGGGGTTTTTGAGGTCGCTGATTACGGATCCGAAATCAGATTTTCCTAATTGAAGATGGCGGATTCAATATGGCTGCCAAAAATTATTAAAACTTTCCGATTTTCATCAAAATCTTTAAAGTACTCTTCAAGCCATTAAAATTTGTTGCACGTTTTTCTTCTTTAACTTTTATAGTTTAGCAGATATTCAATTCTAAAGAAAAATACTGTTTTTCTTAAAAGGGGTGGTTCACCCCTTAAAACTCAAAATCCGCACATATAAAAAAATACATGTCTTTTAGATTTGTGTATTTAACAATATGTTTGAAGAAGAGTCAAATCGGTTCCGGACAGTTGTGACAGTTCCCTTGTTAGTAAGAAATACTTTATATATTTTTATATGTACTTATATACTTTTTTTGCAGAAAATTAATACTGTTTTGCATAAATATAGAAGTTTTATAATATAGAATTTTTTTTAACTTAACACTATTTTGCACATATAATAATTTTTACAGTAAAAAATTCAATAATGTAATTCAAAGTGCATATGACTCAGTTCTATATTATATATTAAGATCAAAGTGATTAGTGAAGTGCAATCTTTTGCAAAGGTTTTAAATTTACTCTCTTTTAAAAATAAAATATATGAAATAATAAAAATATATATTCTATTAAAATTATCTTTTTCAGCATCCATATTTTACGGTGAACTTACTGATATCTATGACAACCGGAATTGTTATAGATCCATCACAAAATATATTTTACTATATAATCCAAACTTTGCAAACTATGTGGGAAGAAAATTTGAGCGCTATCAAGTCACTATCTTGTGATCCTTTCTTCCATTTCATCAGGTATTTGTTTATACACATTCAATTATTATAAATAAATATAAAAAATATTTTTGTATATCTGCAAGTGTCAGAATGTGAAATTTGTAGATATGTTTTCCAAACACATGTATACACACACAATTTTGTTGACCTAGATATATTAATTTCACTCACTATTTATTCAAATAAAGTAAGATAAAATATTAGATTTATTTTGAATAATTTATCTTTTAATTACAAAATAATATGTTTTTTATTTACAAGGGCTGTATGATAAGTACCTGTGTTTAACGACTGATAACATCACTGACTCAAAATCTGTATATTTTATCATTTAACTCCATTTTTCGAATGTCGCTTGTCGAATCGAATCAATAACCGATATTGCTCTTTTTTTATAGTTGCAAACAAACACAAACTTACGCACTTTCAATATCTATCAAAACAAAACTACTCGATAAATCTGTCTGAAATTTTGACAGCGACGTTCGAAAGATGGCGTTAAACACGCGTATACAGATTTTGAGTCAGTTGGTGCTATCAGTCGTTAAACACAGTTTTAATCTTTTAAAATAGTTAGGTTAAGTTAGGTTAGGCTAGAGACCCTCTAATAAGAAACTGGCCATCAGGGGGCCATTTATGATTGGTACACCATTTTAGGCAACTCCCGCACATATTCAAATTTTAATAACCCTATTTTGAATATAAGAAATTCATTAATAATAAATATTACAAATAAATAATGAATATTATATATATAGATAATATATAAGAAATATATAAATAATGATAAAATTAAAATAAAAATATAAATAATATTATAAATAATTGTATAGCTAGGAGAGTGAGTTCTAACACAGGTCCTCTCAGGGAGGGGGGAGTAAAGAGTGAGAGAAAACCGCGATGCGGGGAGAGTGATGTCAAAGGCGCGGGGAAGGAGGAATTGCGGCACGGAGAGTAACGTCACGCGCAGGGAAGGGGGATCCGTGGTGCGACCTATGGACGAGGGGTCCGCGAGGAGAAGGGGGATCTGCGGAAAGAAGACGATGCGAAGGTGTGAAGAATAGCGCTACGTGTGGAAAAAGGATAGCGCTAAGTATGTGAAGAGGACAAGGATGTCATTAACGTGCGACAAGGATGGCATCAACGTGGGACAAGGACGGAGCATTGTAAAATGGCACAAAGGTGGAAGAAAGATGATGCAAAGGTAAGTGAGTGAATGAATGATAGCGACGTGCATATCAAAGAGAGAGAATGATAATAGCGCAAAAGAGATAGCGCAAGAACAACGCGTGCGAGAGAGAACGATAATATCGCGGGAATAACGCATCCAAAAGAGAGAACGATAATATCGCGAAAATAATGACGAGTATGATAGAGACAACGATAAATTCTTATAATTAGCGCGAGAGAGATAGCGCAAAGGATGGGAGCGCAAGAGAAAGACGTGTAAATAAATACATTTTTTCAATTATAAATATAAAATTTAACTGACAAGGAAAGGGTCGGAAGTGTCCCCCTCCGATTTTAATGAGCTTTGAATATGTTGTAGTCTAGATCAAAATAGGAGACACGTATTTTTTTATAAGTGCTGAGTCGGCCGTTAAGGGGGTGAAACACCTTCTTGAAAAAAATCGATTTTTTCATTTCTCAGCGGATACCGTCGAAGCGATAAGAGATATAAACAAAAGTTTCAAATAAAAGTTTTATGGTCTTTAATGTACTTCAAAATCATGTAATCAGATTTGTCGAAAATGTCATATTTTTCGAAATCCCCCCCCCTCCCTTTTAATGTTTGAAAATTTTTAAATTTGTCTCATAACAAAACTTATAGCTCATTTAACGACAAATTCAATCATATATAATAAAGTTGTATTCCGAAGTCATTATATATATGTATATGGAAATATTACATAAAATACCGTACATAATTATTGCATACAAGAATAACAAATATTCATGGTTGATATCGGTTACAAAGATGATGATCATGAAAGAAATGATTTATACAAAGGGATTTTTTACACCATGCGCAAGAAATTACAGCAATTTCACCGCAAATATCACATGTTGGTTTTAAATTAGTTTTGAAACAAAAATCTACTGGTGTATCAAATTCTTCTGGTTTCTTTTCTAAATAACCACTTTTATACCATGCATATTTGAATAAATTTTTAAACCTTGGTGATGAAAATTGATTATGTGTTAATGATTGTAATTTTAAAATATTGTTTCTTGAATGAAGCTTGACGTCAAGATCTAAAAGCATGATGGTATCTGAAAAATGTCTAACAAAATTTTTCCATAAACGAAAACCGAATACATCTAAAGGTTGTATTTTTCCCGTTGCTCCAGCTGGTATAGTTAACAAATTAATATTGTCTATAAAATCTGGTTTGTTTCTTTGAATTATATCAGGACAATGACCAGTCCAAGAATCTAATAATAACACTGATTTTGGTCCAACATTTGGAAAAAACACTTCTTTTATCCAGATCTCAAAATGATGCGATGTTAATTTTCCAGATTTTGATGCCATGACAAAGATATTATTATCTTTAAACATTGTTTCTTTTACTATTGGACCAAATGTTCCAGTAGGTTCTTTTAAAACAATAAACAGAGGCGATAATAATCTACCATCAGCTGAAACAATAGGTTGTATAGTATAACTATGTGTAGTTGCTGATATGGATTGTACTATGCGCTCTACTTTTTTAATACCAATAGGTGATAGTGAACGACCGGAATGAAATTCTAATTGAAATCCACTTTGGTCCGAATTATATACATTTTCAATTCCATATTGTATAATAGAAGATTTAACATTTTCGATAAATGACTTGCTTCGTGCTTCTAAATCTTTGTCTGACGCTAAATTTTTTTTTGTTATAAATTTTGTAATTTTTCTAGATACGATATTATGTGCAAGCTTAAACCTTTTTACCCATGATAATGATGCTGTAAACCCAAGTAGATTTACTTCCTTCTGTGCGCGAAGAGCCCATCGAGCAATA